CTACCCACCTACAAACCTTTTTAAAATTGAAAACTTTTTTCAAGCTCATACCCCACCCTAAAACCACGCCCCGCACCACGCTCACCCCCCACGCCACCCCACCTCACCCCATAAAAAAATATAAAGTTTTTATTTTGGAGATTACACACCACCCTAACGACAGCTCCCCAGATTTGTCACTAACTATGTTATTTGTGACCAGACTTGTATTATATGTAATTAACTATGATCAAATTTGTCTTCATTGTGGCTGTTGGCGACTGACTAATTTGTGATTATATGTAATTAAGTCATTAACATGATCCCAAAACCACCCCACTAATCCCCTTACTTTATACCATCCCTACTCACGCCATCCTCAGAAAATTTTCAAATCATTGACTTGTGTTATCTGTGATTAATTATGATCAAATTTATCATCAGTGTGACTAACTGTGACGAGATCAATATTAATTGTGACGGTACATAACCAAGTTACAACTAATCACAATTAACACAAAATTGGTCACACCCAATCACATTAAACATATACTTAGTCACATATGATCACCACAAACAAATATATACAAACCGCAGACCAGTACCAAAGTTACAACCACCATCACCTTCAACGCACCATTAGTACCACCTTCAGCTCAAATCCACGATCATACATATTACCTTTCACCGACCCGTGTTATCTATGACTAACTGTGATTAAATTTTTCTTTAGCGTGACGATCTATGATCATGTCAGTCTAATTTGTAACTTATGTAACCAAGTCACACATAGTTACAATTAGCATAAATTTGGTTACAAACAGTTACAATGAAGATAGGCTTGGTTATACCCTATTGCCGTCACCACGACCACTCACAATAATGTCGGGAACCAAACGCGAGTCTAGTTTGTGTCCCCCAGGGCACATTCAAGTTGGCGGAACAATCACATTGGGGGGCTCTGGAACCAAGCGTGGGGAGTTCGATTCCTGGTGGGAACCTTTGATCCAATAAAGGAGGAATTATTGGTGGATTAATCACCATGGAGGAGGCTTTCTTTGGAGAAAGAGTAAAAGTCATGTGGGAACCTGGGAACCAACAAGGGCACATCCTGCGATTTACCTCCCTGAGTAGCTGAGGGGCCGGAGGTTCAGGGACGAGGATATATAGTCTGGCGCAAGTTGGGACACTTCGTTAAAAAAAAAAAAAAAAAAAAAAAAAAACAAAACCCGAAAAAAAAAAAAAAAAAAAGAGAGAGAACCAAACGCGAGCCATCTCATCATGACCACCTGCACCATTAGCAACAAAAACTATCGCCGCCTACCGCACCACCAACAGAACCAACAACAATAACAATAGAACCACCCCATAGATAAGGAAATCACTATCAACATTTGCAAAACACCAACATCCATTCCAAAATCTTGGCTAAATAACAGATGTGATGAAACAACCACCCACCATATCTAATCAAACAAATGCCTACACCACCACATCAAACAACTGATATGATGAAACAACCAGCCACTAAATCAATTTCAAATATTTTTCTTTCACTATTACACGAATTTATCAACCCAAACCCTGAATTCTCAACTTTGAGTTCAATTTGGCAAGTAGAGATGAAGACAACAGTTGAGCGAGAACAGCTTACCCTTCAATACCGTCAATAGGAAATCATTCAACAGAAATGCGAAGTCGAACATTTCTTATGACAACGACCATCGACAAAGCAACGAGCAGCTCATCGCTGTAGTTGCAATAACGAAGCAAGGCGTCGCTGCTGCCAGTAGCAGCGACACCTTATTGCGATGTTTTCATAGCACGATTCACCGCTTGTTTGTTCGCCACCACCTGCGACGTTTTTGCCGTACTGTATGTCGTGGACGTGGCGATGATGACTTGGCTCGTGTAGTAGGCAAGTGGTGGTGCGTATGGTGTGTGGTTAATAGAGAGAGGGTAGAGAGAAACGAATTGAGGACGTTGTGGGGATTGAAATTTGGGGTCGAGGTAGGGGTGGAGTAGATGGTTTGTTGTAATAAATATGTATTAACTAATTTATTAAATTTGTATTAACACCTGATTAGTGAATTTCAA